GACACACACACACGTGGATATATGCATACTACATGCCCTCTGATGTGGTGGCAAGGGCTCCTGCATTTTGAAATGTTGGCCATACTGCATTGCTGCATGCACAGCTTTAACAGTCAAGGAAAACCATGGAAAAACAAATGGTTAAGTTTGGAACTGCGATCCATGTCTTATACCTTATACCAAAGTGATGCACCCTATGGCAACAGCAGCCGAGGGTCCCTGTCACCATGCTTTCGTGATGGCGAGTTCCATTACTTTCAGCATGCCATCCAGATTCTAATTACCATATTCTATCCTACTTGCTAGTAGTAACAAGAAGCTACCAGGGGCTCCTGGCATCGCTACTAGGAGCAAGGACGCTACTAGCGGGCTCCTGGCCGTACTAGGAGCAATGTTCGCTACTAGGGATCCATCTAGAAATATCCTTACCGAAAGTAAACCACTAGGGTTTACTAGTAGTAACAAGAAGCTACTAGTAGCAAGTGCCTTACTAGTAGTAACAAGAAGATACTAATAACACTAAAAGTGGACGACGCCACACACCTATTTTCCACCTTCGCTAGAGCCTGAACCAGGCTACGTCCGACACTTACCCCCTTTGGCGCAAGTGTTCGGCCTCCTGACGCCGCTCAGCTATTCGCTGTCGGTACTTCCGCTTTCGTTGAGCGGCGTCTTCTCTGAGGGCTTTTGCCTCGGCCGTGTCCCGCAAGGACCATTCATTGTCCGAGACGGCCTTCATGAGCCTACCATTTCCTATCAGCTTCGTCAGATCATCTGCTACATGATCGTTTCCAGGGACCCATCTCACCAAGCGGTTGCCACCGTCCTCGAACAAGGCCTGCTTCATGGCCGCGATGTCAATCGCAAGCCGACGGTCTTCTCCATGGCCTGAACCATTCAGGAGGTCATAGCCTGTCCGGCTATCGAGAACGGTGATGAGGCGCCAATGCGCCACATGCAGGAGCCACTGGTCAATGTCGAAGCCGACATAAAGCGCTTCAGCCATCACTGCTCTCAAGAAATCGGCTTGATCCAGAGCCTCTGCCGCCTGGCTGATCTCTGCAGCTAAACTCGATCGTACCACCCTTTTCAACAAAGCTGACTGGAAAGTCACTGGCACAGCCATGGCCTTGCCCTCCAAGAGCTCGGGGTTTGCAATCAGGCATACTGCTCCACCCTGGCTTCTTCCACGGGGCATTCCACCAAAACTGGCATCAGACGCTGCCACCACCAGCCATTGCCCCGGTTCACATCCCAGCGGCTTGAACCTCATCGTCTTCACCTCCTTGGCTCGCTCCACAAGGATATAGAGCTTGTCCAATGCCGCCGGATCCCCAACACCTGCCAGCTGTTGTACTCGAGAAACGCCAAAAAGCAGGTCTCCTCTACATTGTCTTGCCAGCCAGGAAAGTTGCCCGCAAACATGACCGACCCATTTGCGTTCTGTCACTGTGAGCTCAGTGCCATCTTTCTCCACCGGATTGCCTCTTGCTCGCTTTGGAGGGAACTGGAGCTTCTCACAGTATTCGTCCATCTGCACCTCGATCGTGCCGTCCGGGAGCTGTCTCTCATAGCGCCCACAAAATACTTGGACCAGTCTTCTGCCACATTCCGCCATTCTCCAAAGGTGAACTCTTTCTTGATGGCCTCCCACACCGGTCGTGCTTTCTCTGGGTGGCCAATCAACCGGATGTCGTCGACATGGCATGCGATCATCGCCACAATCTCACCTTGCACGAACACAGAGAAAACTCCAGGAATCAGCAACCATTCCTTGGCTCCAAGCCGGGTGAGCGTCTTCTGCAGCTTTTTAAACCACAGTCGTGGAGACTCCGCCAACCCAAAGCCCCCTTTGGTGAAGCGAACCAAGTCGGGTCGTGCCCCTGTTGGAAGTTTCGAGCCAAGGAACTGCTGGACAAAATCCGGATATCCTCGAGGAATGGCTACCAGCACCTTGCGATCCGGGTGTAGGCTCTCGCCCTGCAAAAAGGCAGCGGTGATGTCACCAAAGAACATCGTCCACTTGAACTGCGCTGCAAAGAAACAGAGCAGGTTGTGCGCCATCAACGATGCCGTCGGAGCCTCGGTTTCCCACAGTCCTGCTTCCTTGTCTCGATGACCTGAGACCACCCAACGTGCCTTGAGACGGGCATCTTCGAGCTGTTCATCAAGTGGGCTCACGTTGCGGGGATCTGACTTGTTCACCAGCACGAATCTCGACGGGAGGATGTTATCCGTGCGGATGTCCTCATCATCAAAGACGGGAGCCACTGCGTCGTACTTGAAGTAGACGTCCAGAGCATCTTTAATGGGCTCCTCAAAAGCTTGTTTCCAAGCCTGAGATAGGCTGCTCCACTTCAGTTCCAAACGCACCTTGCCAGTGGGAAGGTCCTGGATGTCCGATTGAGTCTCAATGTAGCATTGATGCGGTTTCATCGGCTTTGGTGTCACCAAACGTTTCACCACCGGGAAATTACCGACCATGTCCGCCACATCAGCTTGGAGGACAAAGACCTCATTCCAGTCCACCTTGTACTCGTCCTTCTCCCGGAAGTAGAGGCTCATCATCTGTTGAGCCGCCCGCCAGAGTTCTTCGACCATCACCCGGGCATCTATCCAAGCATTGAGATCTGAGATCGGCGACGGAACTCGCACCCAGAATCTCGCCAAAGCCGACCGTCCGTCGTCCTCAACGAAGGGTTGCAGCCCTGCCAGCGGAAATTGTCGACCACCACCACCTCATGTTCATCCTCGAAGTACATCCAGGTCACCCGAGGGCCGACAAACCAATCTCGCTTGATTGACGACGGCCAAGTTGGCTCCTGAGGGACAAACAGCTTTTCTCTCGGACATTGGTGAACTCTCCATAACTCCTCGATATCGGCATCATAGATCCAAGAGTCCTGATCGGGCCACATGATCTTTGCCCTGGTCAAGGACCGCATTTGTGCTTCAGAGATCGGCTGGGTGAGCGCCGGTGGCATCTCTGGAAGCATGTCCACGTGCTTTGGCACATGCACGTGAGGTACCGGAGTGTTCGGCCACGGTTTCTCCCAAGTGCCTCGAGTGTAGTTCACCTCGTGCTCCGGTGGCTTCACCACTGGCGTCTGCTCAAACCCGACAAAATGTCGAGGTGGCATCAGGTCCACCATCCCCGGAGCTGGCAACCATGGACTTGGGAAGTCTGGCTTTGGTTCGAACTCCTCAGCTGCTTTGTTGATCATGGCCGCCTCATCTCCATCATGCCAGACTGTCTCCAACGGTGACTGTAAAGGCAATACCACATAGGACTCAAGCACTGACCTCACTCCCTCCACCACCAATGCCGTTCGAGGGGCCTTGGCACTCTTCGGGTTCTGATCACCTTTCTTCTTCCGGTCAGCCTTGGCCGGGGCTGTCACAGAAGGTTCAGCAGCCGTAGCGTCTCCGGCAGTTGCCCTCGTCGATGAGCTAGCAGCAGCACCAGTTGATCTCCCTTCCAACTTCATCTTCATCTCTTGTAGGTGATGTTTGGTGCGTTGTGCCGCCTGATCCAATGACATCTTCGGCTCAAAGACTTGCTTGCGCTTCGGAAAAGGCCATAGTGCTGGATCTCGAAGGGTCTCCGCCTCTCTCTCACGTC